GGTGGTAGGCAGGCTTGAGTATATTCTGCAACACACAGGCTGGAAATACTGAGGACGCCAGGAGCTGAAGGCAATGAGTGTTCAAAACACGGGTTACAAGCTTAAGGTTAATCTGAAACTTACCTGTCGTTGGACAAACATGGTCATCACTTTCTTTGCTTGTTCAAATGGGGATTCCTCACCAGGAAAGGCGTTACCCATGGCAGCCCCCACGTCCATACACAGCACAACAGCTGCCTAGAAACGAGTCCCAAAAAAAAGTATCCAAGGAAAAAAGAAGTTATTAGCAAAGATTCTGAAATGGGTCCCCATGCTGGTATGTATAAGAGGACCGATAAAGAAGGGGACATGTGCTATAGACAGAATGTATGACAGAATACAACGTCCCACTCTGGAGAGGCTGTGAAGGGACCAACAATCCCCTAGATGGAGGAGTCAACCATGTGAGTAATGAAGTCACAGTCACAAGCAATGGCACCAGACCATTCAATCATACACTGGGGACTCTCTTGAGTTTCTTTTCCTATTGCTGGGTCTTTTCACATCAATTACCATAACCAAAACAATCTCCCCACAGGCAGGCCCAACGGCCCATCTCACCCTGTGATTCTACAGTTTGTCAAACTGGTGAGTAATACTATCACAGGGGCTAAGGAAAGGAAACAAACTAAATGTTAAACGGACACATGTGAAGCTTTATGTGCTTTACATACAAAATTTATTCAACTATCAACTTCAAAAGACCTGACCTAATAACTCATAATTTTAAAGTAAATTATAGATTTGAGCCAACAAGGTGATATGGCTGCAACATTCTAGCCTCACAAACATGTTAAATTTTATCAGCATTATAATGTATTCAAGATACTAGATTAGCAATTCAGAGATCTGGGTTCTAGTCCCATCTCCACTAACAAATTAGTTCTGACCCTGTGGGAATGTTAACTCCCACTTAACCTCACTGTTAATGCAGTCAGGCATAAAGCTGTGGACTACGTGAGGTCTAAGACTATTTACAGATTAACAGTCTTGATCCTACCAGCCTCATCTGTGCTTCGTGCTGAGCAGACAAACTATGAGCAATTCTAGGCATCACATATGAGAGAAAGATCTAAAAGTGACCAATGAGGAAGGCACTCTTCTCTGAATCAGTGATAATCTGTCTCTAGAGGTGTTTGAAAAACCTGCATGACCTCCTGTGCTAGGGAGATGACTCCTAAATCTGACCTTTTTTACAACACTCAAAGGAAATACTATTTTCTCTAAATTCATAAAGAATGGAACCACGCCAGGAAATGGTAACACACGCCTTTAATCCCAGCACTCAAGAGGCAGAGGCAGGTGAATCTCGGTGAGCTCCGGGCCAGCCTGGTCTACAGAGTGACGTTCCAGGACAGCTAGGGCTGTTACACAGAGAAACCCTGTCTTGAAAACTCCCCCACTCACCCCCCAAAATGGAACCATATGATGCAGTGATATTAACAGATTTCAGAAGCAATGACAACTTATTTGGGAATGAACAGTAATAAACTACAGAGTACCTCAGAGACCAATTCAATTTATACCCCATAGGAATTCCCTCAACATAAAAATCTTTTTAAAAAAAGAATCATAAAATACTCTGGCTGTGTTTATTTATTATATGTCCACAAAACCTGTTTATAAAGGACCAGAAGTCTTTTGTCAAGAATTAGAGAGTCAGAAAAAGACATCAAAGAGTTTCACAGTATGAAAAATCTGGTCTGGAAGAATGTCTGTGATACTTTATTTTCTGGAAGCATTAAGAAAACAGGGACAAGAGACTTGGAGAGTATAGCGACTCATTTTGACACGGAAGCAATACAGCTTTCAGGTACATCTGCCACAAATAAGCCCTTCACAGGAGTTACAACGTTTTCAGTAACTGAAAGAGCAAAGGAGGAGAGCAACATCATAATGAGTTCATAATTTAATCAAAATTTCCCAAATGGGGGTGCAGGAAAACAGAGACCAGTTATTCAAACCCCTATCTTGTTTGCCTATATTAAGGGAATGGGCGAGTGAATGAATGAATGAATAGCAATTACACTTCTCTCTGTTGATCAGAGTATCACTTTAAAGCTCACTGTAATTTCCTTTATCAATCAAAGAAGCCAGGTGTCACAGATTCTTAGCAATGTGGCAAATATCTTTTTTTCAGGGCTCTGAAAATGGCTTGAGTTCACATCTGTATTTTACCACCTATGGAAACCATGACCACGTTCTGAACACTTGAGTTCTTCGTACCTTGGTTCTCTTACTTACAAAGCTAAGGGCAATAATGTTCATCTCAGGAGTTGGTGTGAATATTTAATGAAATAGGAATAAAAGGCTTAGTTCTGTGCTTCACACTGTAAGCTTTCAAAAAATTCGAGAAACTAAATTATTAGGAAGGTAATAATATGACACTATATTTTTGAGTTATTCACAGAATCCTATCTCAAGTTTTTCAAGCCTGTCACGTAGGAGATAATCCTGGATAACATATAAATTCTTACATAGATTTTAAGAACCCAGGTTCAGAAGTGGTAAGGGGCGCCGGCGTCAGCAGCAGGTGGTGTGGATAGAAAGTAGAAGGGAGGCAACTAGTGACGGAGGGAGGATGAGGAGCAGGTGAAGCAAGAGGGAGAAGAAGAGGCGTGAAGGTGAATAAGGCTCAAAAGCAGAACTCCGGACCCCAAGCTTTTCGCTTTGGGGCATCCATCCTTCAGCCTTCAGACTGGCACAGCTGCGAGCCCACAGTTCCTGCTACCGAACCACCCTCTGCAGATCCCAGGCTTGAGTAAGGCACAAAGGCCAGCAGTCAGTACCTTATTACCGGACCACGCCATGTTGCTGGTCCACGGGCCGTTTCGTTACTTTTCCCGGACGGAAACCTACAGTGTGGCAACGCAGTTCCGGGTGGCTCATAGGCCTAGACTTCCGGCTCGGCGGGCAAGGGGCGGGGAAACCCAGCTCCAGGGCTGTGAGCATGCGCACAATTCCCTCCCTGCCTCCCTAGGTAGGGCTTTGTTTTGAGGCGTTAAAAACTCGAGTACTGGGCTGGTGAAGTGACTCAGCTAGTGAAACCATTTGTCATCAAGCCTAACGACCCCAGTCTGACTCCAGGGACCCACTTGGTGGAGAGAAAGAACCAACTCCTGCAAGTTGTCCTCTGACGTCCACGTGTCCCACACATCACAATAAATAAATTTTAAATAAATTTAATAGTAAAAAGTAAACAAAGAGGGCTGGAGAGATGTCTCAGCGGTTAAAACAATTGGCTGCTCATTCAGAAGCCCTGAATTCAATTCCCAGCAGCCACGTGGTGGCTCACAACCATCTATAATGAGATATGATGCCCTCTTCCGGCCTGCAATCATGCATGCAGACACAGCACTCATACATTTTTTAAAAAGTACATTTTTAAAAAATGTAAGTAAATAAGGGACAGGAGGAATTGGCCACAGGTTAAGGAAGTACTGGTTTTGCAAGGGTAAGTTCCCAGTACCCACATCAGGCAGTACAAAGCTCCAGTTCCATGGAATCTGACGCCCTCTTCTGACTTCCACAGGCACTTGCGCCCAAATGCACACACCCACATACAGATGCATGCATACACGATTTTTAAGACTAAAAATAAATAAATAATTGTTAATAGTGGTCCCTGAGCTAATAGTGACCACTCCACCTAGCATTTGTGTTGGCACTCTGGAGTTAGAGTCCCCTAAGTAAGAGGAATGCAGAGAGTCACGTATCTCCTCTAAAGGCCTTCTAAGCAGGATACTAAAGAAAGACTATGAAGGTACAGTGGCCTTAGGACCAACTGCCAAAGGAAAGAGGGACAATTCTCCGAGTAAACAAAAGTAGAAAAACTTTACAACTTTGCAGACAAAATGGAAAGTATAAACACCTAAGGAGGGGGCAGGAGTTGCTGGAGAAATGGTTCAGTGGTTGGAAGCACTGACCACTTTTCCAGAGGCCCTGGGTTCAATTCCCAGCATTGACAGAACAGCTTACAACTGTCCATGACTCCAGTTCCAGGGGACCTGACAGCCTCACACAGACATATATGTAGTAAAAACGCCAATGCACATAATAAATAAATAATTTTTAGAAGAAAAAAAAAACACCTAAAAAGTAATCTCTGGTAAGAGCTCCCTGATAGGTTGGAGTAGCTGTAGCTGAAAAATAAGTTCAGGAAGCCTAAGGTGTCTTTTTCTAGAAATGGAGGCTGCCGCTGGCTCTGAATGTTTGCCACTCATTTTCACAGAACTCGCCCAGCAGTCCTTCCCTTCCGGTGACTCTGCCTGTTTTCTCTGAGTCACAAACAACAGGTGCACATCTTTGTTCTGATGCTCATGTGGTCATCACTCAGGTTGTCCACGCTGTTGTGCAATGAGACATTTTCTGGAGAAGAAGTCATAATGCACACAGACAGGGAGCCCATGGCAGAGCAAAGCCCTGGATACCACCGAAGTCCAACGTGGTGAACGAATGAGTCCTATGGTGGGGTTTGAGGTGTGTATTGCCATACCTGGCTCTAGGGCTCTTCTGAAATTATTTCAGTTTTGTAAGTCCCTAGGTCAAGGTTGACCACCATGTAAGCTTCATCTTGGTATGCTTTGGGTGGATTCTTACCCTCGCCCCATTGCCACCATGCTCCTTGTCATTGGTTCCCCTAATCAATGTGACTGACAGATAAATGTGATAAATGTGATTGCATTTTTAAAATAAGAGTTAGGTAAAAAGGTGACTAGGAAACAGATCGTCTAGATAGAATTCCCATAAATCTGTGGTCCACAGACAATCAGAACTTAAGATAAAAGATCCCTTGCTGAGAGCATCTCCCTCAGAACCACCACAGGCTCGCGTTTTTCTGTAAACAAAAGCATTCAAAGCTATTGGGGGGCCCTCAAAAACAAAATAGGTAACTGTTAATCAGACTTTATTATCTTTATTTTTATTTAAATTATTCATATCTCTGGAAATGCACCAGAAAGCACCACAGCTATTCTCAAAAATACTGGACACATTTTCCTTTTCTTCTGATCAAGCTAATAACAGGATTGTTTTTTAATTCTCTGAAAGTGGAGTTCAGCACCATACATTAAATGAATGTCCCTGGGTGGCAGTTGGGGGAGTTTGATCAACCCCTCTAGTTCAGTTCATGGCAGGTTTTCAAAGCACTTCTTTCTGAGACAACGAAAAATGAACATCACCCCTTCTTGTAAGAACCCAAACTCCAGAACTCGCTGACCTCTTAGGACTTGACATTTTGAAGCCAGTACACTCTTAAGAATGAACTTGTTCTTTCTTCCATCCAGAATCTTTTCACCTGGATGGATTTGTTGTGTTATTCCTAGTTCTGCCAGAGGAGCTTCATGCTGGAAAGATCGAGTGAGTAAGGCTCCTGGGTTGGATCAGAGTACAAGCTAAACATGGTTTGTGTTTTAAGCTACTGATCCCTGCTGGGTTAGTGTTCGGCAGATTCCCCTCCCCCTCCGTCTCTATAGTTTATAGATTAAATACTGTCAATCCCTGTTCCCCCTTCCTTCCCAGGAAGAATTATACTGTGATTATATGACTGTATGCTTCTATCTAATGGGCTTTCTAAAGAAACCTGAAATCACATGGCAAAAGTTAAGTTGCCAAGTACATGAGATGCTACTATCTAAGGCATATGCATAGTGTATGCAGCTCATATCTATCTTTAAATCCTCTGTGTAAGACTAGGGCCAAAATAATGAATAAACAAATAAATAAATAAAACTGCACTAGTAGTTTGGAACTCTGAATCATCTAAGTACCTATCATAAGATGTAGACTCCTACCCACCAGCCAAAAAGCTATTCTCCCTGTTCCCACAAAACCACATAACCCCAATATCATCTAGGAATATAGCTACCCAGATAAAAGACTACATTTCCCAGTATCTTTGGATGGTGAGGCTATATGACTATAGTGTGGTCAATGAGATATAATAAATATTGACGGGGGCTTTGTGCCCTCCTTTGCTTCTTCTGTGTTTTCCAGGAACACTGCTATGATGTAGATGTACCGCTGGAGATGTTGTCAGCATTTGGAAATCGGAAACTGAAGATACGAGCCCTGAGGACCACATTCCATCATCCAGAGAACTCCAGATGACATCACAGGGTCCTGGGACGGTCCACCTACAGACGTCTATATAAAAAGGAAATGGATTTCTCTCTTGTTTGGTTCACTGATGTTTGGGGCTTTACTTACATGTCATTCTCTCTAAGCACAAGTGATGCACACAGTTTATAGCGGTAGCTCAGCTCCCTAAATATGTCATTCCAGCTCCAGCTATTTTCTAGGTGGATTTGGTTACCCCTGAGCCTCTTTTCAAGATTTTTTTATTTATTTTATGCATATGAGTGCTCTATTGACTTTATGCCAGAAGAGGGCATCAGATCCCACTATAGATGGCTCTGAGCCACCATGTGGTTTCTGAGAATTGAACTCAGGACCTCCGGAAGAACAGCCAGTGCTCTGAACCTGAGCCATCTCTCCGGCCCCACCCCTGAGCCTCTTTATTCTTTCTGTCACATTTAGGCACACACTTCCCTGGATTACAGGCACCAATAACACCTTCAGGCCCCTGAGGGAATTTATAATGGATCTCCGTATCCCAGATAAATGGTCATTTTAGGGCAAAGAGCCAAGACACATTTGTATATCACACGAACTGCTTTTCTGTTTCCTGCCCTCTTGGAATGATGAAGATGATGGGATGACCAATGTGAGCCAGGATTTTCCAGGACTGTAAAGGGTATTGGATGGTTTAAGGAAAGAACCTGCTAGAACTGTAGAATGACTATTGACTACTAGGGCCTGGGAAAGAAGTCACCGGTGGTTTAGACAGTGGAGGTTTCTACTCCCTGGATAGGGTCCTTGTTGGAGAGATTGCCTGAGGTATTGTCAGACTCCAGCAGTTCCACGATGCTGTAGGGAGAGCAGTCCTCCAGGCCCAGCTTGCTGCAGAGCCAGCCGCAGAAGCCTTTCTCCATGTCACAGGCAGCTCGCCACCACGCTCCCCAGGACCACGAGAGCTGAACCACAGCGGCATAGAGCCCCAGGGAGGAGGCCATGGCCATGATGAGCACCGGGTAGAGGAGAATGAGGCAGGGGCAGTAGGAAATCTTATGCCAGAAGGTCCTCTCCTCGTTGTACACAAGGAAGATGTTGTACCAGGTGATAGTGCCATAGTAGAACGACACTACAAAAGAAAGGACGAAGACCACAGGCAGGCAGACCAGCGTCCAGAGAACCACGTGTGGACCCTGGTCTGCCCCCACCTGGCAGGCCCTTCTTCCCTCAGGGGCTACTTCCTGGGACAGCCCTTTAGGTTTGGTCAGTTCCTGCAGCTCCTTCTCTGTCAAGGTGACATGGATATCCACCATCTGACCCTTTTTCTTCCCGCGCGTGATGGTCCCCGTTAGCGTGACGTAGCGGCTGTCCGAAGGCATATTCCACACACCTGTAGGGCACAAAGGGGATGAGAGTCGAGAACTGAGGAGATCATGTTTCCCCTCAGCCCCATCCTGAAGCGAGACCTGAGCAGGAGCCGCAGAACCAGTGAGTCAGCCGCAGGCTTAAAGCCGATCTCCCTTGGAGGGCAATCTCTGCCATTATCACTCCCGCAGACACCGATGACACATGACAAAACCGCGGGCAAGATTAACTTGTTCTTCCAGCTGTCACGTCATTTCTCTGTACCCCAGCCTTGGCACAGTCTCTGCAACATGCAGATTGGTGAGGAAGCTCACCAGACACCATTTTATCATGACCCTGCTTCTGGGTAACAAGTGTTATGAAGGCATTATTTGTGACTATTAACCTGCACGTGTGTGTGTGTGTGTGTGTGTGTGCGCACGCGCGCGCACTGAGGGACTGGTACATCCCTTCCTTCTCACCCCTAGTCCTGTTTCCCTGAGATGCCTGTAGACACGCCAGCTATTATATTTTGTTTCTTATTTATTTATTTATTTTTGGTTTTTCAAGGCCTCAGACTCACAGAGATCTGTCTGCCTCTGCCTCCCGAGTGCTGGGATTAAAGGTGCGCGCCACCACCACCCAGCCTCTAGCTCTTATATTTAAACTATAAATAATAGCCACTCACTACACACACACACACACAAACTAAACATATATAATAAGAATTTTAAATATATCTATACAATAATTAACAATATGTCTGCCTTGCTTGAAAGTTCCCCTTAACATAGTTCCCAACCCCACATATGCCCTTGCTAGATGCACCAGGGTCCAGCCTGGCTTCCCTGCTGACCTTCCACCATCCTCCCCCTGGTTCTCACCACATCCTAACAAACACCCCTTCCCATCTATAGGCCAGTGTTGCTCTCACCCCAAGTCCGTTGCTGTCACAAAAAAAAAAAACTCTTCCCCACATCTTTCTTACCTGGCTCCTTCATGTTACTTGGAGGAATTCAAATGTCACTCCTTTAGAGAGGTCTCCTGCGGTACAAAACCCCTCCACTGGCAGTCACCTCCCCAGTGCTGTGAATTTGCTGTCTTTGGAACTACTTATCTTCCTCACTGTCTGTCCTCCCCGGGTGGAAGGTCAGCTCCAGGGGAGCAGAGACACGTCTTGTGTCATTCACGCTGGGCGTGTGAGTCTTAACACCCATCCTTCTACACCAGTAGGTCTGTCCATTGCCGCACAGTAATTCTTAACATAGAAAACCCGCATATTTGCTCCTTAATGGCAACAAATGTCCTTAAACGGGCAGAGTACAGGCAGAATTTCTGTGACATGCAGTACACGTACTTCGAATCTTAATAAGCACTGAGCAGTTCCTACAGTGCGGGCAAAGTGGCTTTAACGTGAGCTTAAGGAGTGTGAGAGTTAACTAGTTCCACACAAGGATTCTATCATATTTCACACAAATTTCAACAAGCCTATATTGTGAAGGAATACTGTAGCTCACTGATATCATACGTTTTAGTCTGTGCTGGCTAATCTAATGTCAACTTGACACACAAACTAGAATTATCTGAAAGGAGGGAATCTCAATTGAGGAAATGCCTGCATAAGATCTGACTGTAAGGTAGTCTCTCTTTTTTTGTTGTTTTGTTTTTGTTTTTTGAGAGAGGGTTTCCCTGTGAAGCCTTGGCTGTCCTAGAATTAGCTCTGTAAACCAGGCTGGCCTTGAACTCACAGAGTTCAAGTTTAATCCTCTGCTGGGATTAAAGACATGTGCCACCACTGCCCAGCTTAGTATTTTCTTAATTAATGATTGATGGGGGAGGGCCCAGCACCCAGCCCATTGTGGGTGATTCCATCCCTGAGCTGGTAGTCCTGGGTTCTATAAGAAAGCAGGCTGAGCAGGCCACGAGGAGCAAATCAGAAAGCAGCTTCCCTCCATGGCCTCTGCATCAGCTCCTGCCGCCAGGTTCCTGCCCTGTTTGAGTTCCTGTCCTTTCTTTGATGGTGAAAAGTGCAGTGGAAGTGTAAGCCAATCCTCCCCAACTTGTTTTTATTCATGGTGTTTTGTTGCAGCAATAGAAACCCTAAGACATAGCCTCCTGATGTGTTGGTGGTGGTCGTTTACTTTTTATTTTTGAGACATGGTCTCACTGCATATCCCAGGATGGCATCCAATTCATAACCCTTGCCTCAATCCCAGCCTCCCAAATGCTGGGATTACTAGTGTAAGCCACCACACCTGGCTGCCTTTCCATAATTATTAAGAAGCGTGACCCATTTATGTTAAGTGGTGAGTCTATAAAGCAGCTTCTTCTCTTACACTAGCAGTTATGAAAGGGTAGATATTCCATATACCCAAAACAGAGTGTTGTAGGCTCTAAGTAACTACTATCAGTATAATTAATGAAGATTGCAACACCTCAAGAAATTCATCACCCGAAAAAGAAAAGAAAAAAAAAAAGGCCAGTGAGCAGGTTCCTGTCTCTTGGAGGAGGGACCCTGATTTAGTTTTCTTCCGATGACTTTGAACAAGGAGCTCCAGAGAGACTCACCGTCATCTACAGGGTAGTCCAGGAAATCCTCCCCTTCCTCCTCTTTAGGCCGATCTCCACCTTCTGACTCTTCAGGCTCTTCGTCCATCTTCTCATTATCTGACCGGTAGATGATGATGGACTCTGGGCGAGACTCTTTCCTCTTCTTCTTCCTGCGGCCCATTGTGGACTCGCCATCCAGGGCCAGCGCAGCAGCCACTGCCCTCCTCAGTGAGCCATGGTGGGGGCTTGGGAGCTGGCTCTGGGTTTCTGCTGGTGCTGACTCTTCCATCCCAGTCCTGAGAAATAGCCCAGCTTACGTTAGATGAGTTTGACTTGCTTGAGCAAACTCAAGGTCCATGCATCACACAGCTTCTACCTAGAAAGGACTATGCAAACATGTCCCCAAAGATACATGCGACCTAAAAGACAGAAAAGCAAAGCATCAGTTGAAATCAAAGACGGCAGGCTGGAGAGAAACTGGGAAATCAACAAAGGAGGGAGGGGTCCATGGAAATCCTCTTTCAGTAACAGATGACAAATAAAATTTTAATATTACTTTTTGTCATTCGTATACATATAGTATTGCAAAAAACCCACCAGTCCCGTTAAAGGGCATAGAGTATAGGAAAGTTAGTGAGGAAGTCTATGGGCAGGTAGGAGTTAAAACCAATCCTACTCTCATTGTAGCTGGAGACTGACATGAGTAGGGCCAATACTTTGTACTTCTGACTGCCAAGAATACATCCCAACAATGCCCAAGTGGAAGAAGAGTCGTTGGACCTCATAATTGTGACTCCTTTGCTATGTGGGAACCCTGTCTCCTAGTACAACACGTACTGAGAAAGTTGCGAGAATCTGGAAGAGGTGCTTTCACTTTCAACACTTCATCCTCTCTTCTGCATATAAACCAGAAAGAAGAGAAAAGAACAAGCCTCTTATGGAGAAAATACTGGCCCATTACTTATGGTTGCAAACTCACCTTGGGCTAAGTTTGATTTTCTAGGTCAGTGGTGCTCAACCTTCCTACTACTGAGACCCTTTAACACAGTTCTCCATGTTGTGATGATCCAGCCATAAAATGATTTTTGTTGTTACTTCATAAATGTAGTTTTGCTCCTGTTATGAATTGTAATGTAAATATCTAATATGCAGAATATCTGATGTGCGACCCCTGTGAAAGGGCTGTTTGACCCCCAAAGGGGTCGCAACACACATGTTGAGGACTGCTGTTCTAGGAGATCGAAAAGCTTCATCTGGAACTTAAAACGTTAAGCCAAGGCATGCCAAGAAAACCAAGACAGAGGAGCTCTGTTCTCTCAATTCAGCCACCCACTCAGGTGGCTGCAATCTATTTCTGAGCTTGAGCCATTCTAAGGGCTGCTGTGACTGTTGTTGCTACAAAGTGAATATTAGCAACATCCAGCCTGACACACGTAGGTAACCAGCGGCTGATAGTCTTCCAAAGAGAAAGAGAAAAGAAAGCTGTTATTATAATAAGCGCTAACGGCTTACAACGGGGGCCCTTTCTATTACATAGGAACAATAAGTACTTTAATGTGTCTTCCTGGCACCCATCACCCAGTTTCAACAATAATAAGCTATTCCAGGTCAATCTTATTTCTTCATTGTATTTAGCAGCAAATCTTAAACACTTCCTTTCTACTTCAATATGTAAAATAAAATAAATGGGATAATCAGATGCCTCAGAGGGCAAAGGTACCACCGGCCTAATATCTGAGTTGGATCCCTTAAATGCACCATGATGGAAGGAGAGAACCAAAACCCCTAAAGCTGTCCTCTGCCATATACAATCCCCCAACACACACACACACACACACACACACACACAACACACACACACACACACACACACACACACACACACTATAAAGCCCCATGATAGCAGTACTCTGTGTAATTTTAAAAGCCATTCTTTAACATCATTATTAATTAAATTAACATTAAATAGAAATCTGCTCAAATCTCCCTGTTCTTACAAATGGTACTACATCTTTTTGTCTATAGCAGCACCACCCGGTGGAACTTTCAGACACTGCATCTGAAAAGAGGCTGGGCAAATAAGGAAGGGTTTTTTTGAGTTTTTTTAAAGAAGCTTCAGCTTTTTTTTTTTTTTTCTCTCCAAGACATGGCTCTGTGTAACCACTGTTGTTCTAGAACTCGTTCTGTAGACCAGGCTGGCCTCAAACTCACAGAGCTCTGCAGACATCTGCCTGTCTCCACCTGTCAAGAGCTGAGATTAAAGGCGTGAGCCACCACACCTGACTCACTCTTGGTCATTTTAAGTAATTATGCCCACCTTTTGACTTACGGAGGCTTTTTGTTTGTTTTTTTTTAAAGCTTGTGTGTGAGTGTACATGCATGTATGCCGTGTGTATGCAGGTGCCTTTAGATGGGGATGAAGTGGTCGTTCATGTCACAACCACACCATGACACAGCTTCTCGAGTGTCTGTTTTACTAAAGGATTTGGATTGGAGGAAACATTATTTTATTAAGCACAGACACTTGGGGAGTAGGATTTTATACCCATAGACATTTTTAACTAGGAAACTTGGAATCCTTAGCCTTGGGGAGAGCCATGTCTTCCCCGTCTCTTCATGTTGGACCATTTTGGTGAGGAGCCCTGATTTAGCTCACTGACTCCTGAGAGCCATCCAACATCGTCATGTTGGGCTCTTTGCTCTGGGAAGTCCATCTGCTCTGACTCTTCCTGGAGAGAATGGGGGGCTCCTAAACGCCTTGGCCCCGTGAATTCACAGCCCAACTACCTGGGCGATCAGCTAGACATAAGTAGACAAGTTTGGCAGAGTTCTTGCCTTTGTCTGTCTTCATCCAAAACTGAAAACTCCATCCAGGTTCCTTAACTTTTTTGCAGAAGCAGCAATATTAGTGCAAGTTTTTTACAATGTAAAATAATTTTTATACCACATAACCTGATTGTATTATTTTCTCTTGTCTCGGTTTGGTGATTTATTCAAGAGTGCAAGTGTATTTATTATGCATGTTCAAATAACACACCAAAAACACAGTGCCTTCTGTGATGAGACCCTGTGGGTTTGTGCTGTTTAGGGAGTCCTCTAGGCATGACCAGATAATAAAGGGGTATAGAATATCTTCCTCTATGCCTCACCTTTAAGAATGCTACCCATAAGCACCTGATTTATTTCAGGCAGTTAATTAAGGTTAGGATATAAAGGCAAGGCTCAAAAATCTGCTGATCCACGGGGATTACAAAAGAGTGAAAGGGCAAAGGACAGTTATCTACTGCCTGGAACAACAAAACTGTCATTCCACAAAAAACAAATGCACCCAAAGTTTGGAAATAAAGCCGAAACCAGCTGTGTGTGTTGGCATTGGAAGAAGGATGATTCAGAGTCCTTCCTGTCACACGATAATGTTTTAGACACAGGTTGTGCTTCAAACTGAATGGCAAGCTAAGATGTATTTCTGCTCGCTCGTCCACAGCCACACTTCACTTTAGCTGTGCCTACTGGGCCAGTCCACGAGACACTGAGACTATTCAAAACAAATAAGAGGAGGAGAGACTAAGTAATTGAGAATAAATGACACTACAGGGTGTGCATTTGGCATTAAAACCAAGGAAATACTCAGAAAGAACAAGAAGGAAATGAAGGATTGAAGAATTAGGAACAAAAATAGCGACAGAAAACTGGAAGCCCATAGCTACTGGGAGCATACATTCTCAGGGGCCCTGGGAAGACAGGGTTGGGCATAGACTCCAGCAATTCTCAACAATAAACCAACAGTTTGAAAATGGAAAGTTTTTTGGTAAATAGCTTAAAAACTTCCCTATCAGTAGAGGCTGTCACTGTATTTCATAAGCTATTTTTCATAGTATGCTTACTAATATATGACAGCAGGATTTATTAATATATAACAAATTATTAATCTGTTATTAATAATAATATTTGCCTCCACCAAATTTAAAATTATGTTAAAAGTGCATAGGGTGGGGTCCTGATATTGAATCTGGGAGGAGTTGGGGGGCAGAGTGGGGTTTAAGTATTATCAAAATACATTATATATGTGAATTTTTATTAATAAGAAATATTATATTAAAACTCAAACATAAGCCAGGCGACAGTGATGCACGCCTTTAATCCCAACACTCAGGAGGCAGAAGCAGGAGGATCTCTGTGAACTCAAGGCCAGCCTGGTCTACAGAGCAAGTTCCAGGACAGCTAAGAATACAGGGAAACCCCGTCACAAAAAAAAAAAAAAAACAAAAACAAAAACAAAAACAAATCAAACATAAATAATTCCACTGAACATGGATACCAGACAAAGCAACGTAATGTGTAATGCAAACTGAGCATGAACATGTCAAAGACATAGAAATGGCCCAAAGTCCTCATTCTGGTTCACAGAAGCAGCCTAGTGTTTTCCCCAACTACAGCCTCAGACGTGCTGTGGGAGGCTTTCTCACAGACATTAGAATACATCTTAGACTCACACCCACTGTCTGACAGCCAGTCATAGCAAGACCTCTCCAGAGCTGACAGGTTAAAAAAAATGACATCCGCCTTTGCTGACAGTCTGTTGCCAAGAGAGACACTTATCACTGGTGTTGGGTATGTTTTACTTCTGCAGAGGGACAAAGTTTAATCAATCACAGGTGGACTCCTGACATTGCCAGATCTTCAGTTACTCTGCTCATTGCTGTAAACCCAGGGGAGACAAGAACTTAGTGGACATTAGTTGCCAGTCGGTTTATTCAAGGCCAACCCTGAGGAAAACAGGAGAGACTCTTTCGCGTTCCTCCTTCACTTGGTTCAAGACTTTTATGGGGTATGAAGGAGTCACAGATCATGGGGTGTGAAATCCCCACGCTGGATGGAGTCTTTCTCCAGGGCTTCATGTCTGTCATTCTTTAAGAGTATAGTTGATACTATCGGGGCATAGTGGTATATGCCTTTAATTTCAGCACTTGGGAAGCAGAGTCAAGCAGATCTCTGTGACTTCAAAGCCAGCCTAGTCTACATAGTGAGAGAGACCCTGTCTTGATAAAAACAAAACAACAACGAGTTTAGTTGATCTCAGCTCTACCTCCTGGACAGCATCTGCATTTTCTTTCCAGGCAAACACTTTTCTGCCATCAGTTTCTATGAATTGAGGGCAGGAGGGTCATGACAGAGTTCTGTGTGAGCTCCCCAACACCAAATAAATTGTCTTAACAAGTAACAACAACAAAGTGCATGCCAGGCGCTGGGAAGATGGCTCAATGGAGAAGAGCTCTTGCTACGAAAGCAAGAGGACCTGAGTTCAAATCCCTAACACCCATGTGAAAGCGAGGCATGGTCATGTGCCTTTAACCCCAGAATTGGGGTGGGGGAGTTCCACAGCACCCACCATGTGTTCTATACTCTCAATACTTAGTTA